TATATCTAACGGATCAATACGAACTTTCTCTCTGACGAAATAGACTAAAACCTTCATTTTTCGGCTATGCGCTACGAAACAATGATAAACGGTTGATCAGCATCATAATTTGTGGAATGCCCTATGAATACTGGAAAGACTTGAAAATTCATGGTATAAATGAACAGTGATGGCCTGACAGCAGCGAACTCTGAGAGACGCGTATCCACAAATTTCATAGCAAGCTTCTTCATACCAAGAAGTTGCGATTATATAGGACATTACTAGGACACTAAGTATGATAAATTGTGAAGAGAAACCCGTTTATGTCGCAATTCTTGATAACATACGATAAGCCCAGCAATACCACTTTGTCTTGGAAGATTTTCAGTCATTTGTTGGGACTTTTTGCGGAATGAAAGCAACGGTCAAAACAAGACTTGAGAAAAAAGAAATCAGTGATGTTCTAGATTTGCCTTCTTCTTTCATAGTAAAAAATAGCCTCTAATAATTGAAGTTGTACTGTACGTCTTCACGAAGACGCCATTCAGCCAACTATTTGTGTTACTAGGTAAACCACGAAAAGTCAGATGTCAGAAAACTTCTTCTGTTCAGAATGATTGCATCTGCCTTACGTTTAACTTTTAGTAACAAATCATGATTCTAGGCTTGAATTAATTTGACCTAATTATTTTCTTGATGTCGCGATAAAGTCTTAAAGAATACATTTGGCAATAACAGGGTTCATGACTATTCGCTCCACGCTTGCAATTTGGCGAGTCCTGGAATTTCGATTTGAATTAATGCGCATTTGCCGTATCCTGTTGTTTAGTAACTACAGCTGAAAACGATCGAACTACTGCACTCGACCGCAGCGACATTACTGCTCCAAAAGTACTTAGTCACGTTGACGAACGTACACGACAAAATCAGGCTGGCTTCCGCACTGAACACCTCATATTCGCGTTACGCTTCACAGACTTTCCAGCAGCGTTCGATTCAATTCATCGAGATTCCCTGTGACGCATTATGAAAATGAATGCTGTACCCCAAATGCTTGTGAACCTATGTAAGGCATACTATTACAGGACCTGAGCACTAATGAAAACATTTTTTTGACCGTTCCTAAAAATTAATATCCGTTTCAATTATGCTTTTACTCTGCTACCCATCAATGGTTCCAGTTTCTTTCTCCTAAGCTTATTCGAGCCTTCGTTTATTTTGCAAAAATCGATAGTGCTTCCGTATAAGACATACGCTTTGCATATACCTCGTAAACAAGACTGCAAACCTAAAGTACTGAACGTCTCGATAAGTCGGTTTCTAGCGTGAAGAATCTAGCTGAAAGAAATTACATTAAGTCGTGTCAGTCGGCCCATCAGCCGGTTAACAAATTCCAGTGATAAACCGATCGCAGACGACTTGCTTCACCTCATTTACCTGACATTAGTATCGTTGCGGCGCCGGCCTTTGAACGTTACAGTTATTCGTCGCCTAGCAACTGTCCTGTAAACAATTAGCTGTTACTTCAGTTCTAGTTGCCTTAATCGCCACCGCCACACAAAGTCCCCTTCGAATTTTGTTGACCGCGATGAGCGGCGTACGCACGTTTATGTATTGTACGCCTCCGAGGCCACTTTACTACAGCAACTTCAGAAATATGCCGGAAAACATGTAAGAGTGTATCTCGCTGTTTACTTTACTTCACGCCTATTGCTGTTGTCCTTGTTTACATTTAACAATGAATCGTTTGAAGATCTAACAAAACAGGTTGGTTGTCTGGTAACAAGTGGCGAAACTTTCAAAGGTCAGCGCAGCAAATAGCACGGCGAGGCATAATGCAAGTTGGTTGTTTATCATTGGCTACGGCATCACGCTAGCCTAGCTGCATTTAAATCGTCTTTCTGCTTTTCCTCAGCCGCTTACAGTAAAATAGCCTAAACGAATTTTGTATTCATTGCGAATCTGGAATTAAAGGAGATAGAAAACGTTTACCACGTCAAGTTTGGACTTCTTATCTTTAAGTTAACTTACATTAGTTAACTTAACTAAAACTTACGGTGATTTTGCTTTTTGACCTGTTCATGCACCAAAACAGGACCCTACGCTGATCGGAATTCCAAGGGCCAAGAAGCAACTTAAGGCTAGTAAATGTCGCTCCCAAAGAAATGAAATGTCATCTTTCGCATTTAAGTAATTAGCTCTGCATTGACAAGGGATCATTTCTTACAAGTTGGCGTGGTCTATTAGCTACGGCTTACTTTTTGATTATATGGGTTTGATTCTGATCGCCCCGATACAATAAATTGTATTAATCGCCCTGCAGAAAGGAGAAAGATTTAAACCAGGAAGGAAATCCATCGGTGATAGTACAGCGCCTGTTATCGTAGCTGATTCGCGTCATATCCGTGTGAAAATAACACCGTGAGAACCGCAGTGGCTCAATCAGCCATCCATGTTTATCATACGGAATTAAGAAGGGAACATTTATTACCGAACTGAGCCATCAATCATTCGGGCCCAACTTGCTAGTATTTAGTACAACAGTATCACGCCATGGACGCTTACGGGGACAACTTTTAGCAACTCCTGTACGGCCTATTACATTCAAAGAACGCAGAAGGGCCAAGGAACATTTTGCGAGCAACTTTATTTTATTCGTAATCACCAATAAAGGTGCAGAATTATAGTGGGAGATGAAAAAATGAACTGTAGCAAAATCAGTCAGGATCAGCAACGCTGTCTTCTTATTTAACTACACTTTGCAGTTGATGCACGTTGTCTGATCTAAGTTGTCTGCAATCAGCCGTGCGAAGAAAGCATAGAATATGTAGAACAAATTTAGAATCATCCAACCGCGCATTTTTAACTCGTTAATTCACACGTTTGTTTATTTCGTTAATTACTTAGTGCATAATTGCAACGCCTTGTTTAAGCAGCGGAAAAATGTCGTGCATCCCAGAGAGCACTTAAGAATTGAATTGCGTCAATATTTTAATCACACCGTCAATTCTGGGTGACTTCCAAATCAGTGAAAGGAACTAAATTACTAATGAGCCAAACTGACATGTTGACGTTTGTACGTCTTCTCCTAAAACAAGGTAACCTGTCTTGGGCAAAACGTGTCGTTTTTTGCAGACTGCGCGTAGGGTAAAGTCGACGAAGCGGTTGTTCTGTAAAATCTGAAAACAGTGATCTCAAACTTACTTTGCACTGCTTAGAAGCTGCAAGTTTCAGGGTAGCAACCCATACTCCAGGGGCAGTATATAAGATGACGTAAAAGAGCGTTGTTGCCATTAGTTTGGCATCGGACACACGTCCTCAACTTTGGGCATGACTCTACCACGTAACCATGCGGTTCCAGACAAAAGGACATGCAAATTTTTTTCACGGAGGTTAAACGATAAAATCAGGCGGGCAGTTACCACCTAAACCTTTTCGAACGTTCATTGTTTCTAAGTGATTAATTCGCTAGACTTTCTTTGGATAGCTTCATTGTAGGACAGTAGTTTAAACAAGTGGCTCATATGAATTAAAAACGAATTATCAATCAAGAAAATAAAAAGATGCTGTGGAAAGTCAAAGAAGGTCAAGCGTCAAAACACTCGAAATACCAACTCCAGGAACGAGAAATTTCATGGTTTGATAATACCATGTACAAGAACGAAACATCAGTCGCTCATAAAACCTTAGAATGCAATCCAGACTGTGAACACGTCATTCCAACAGTCATCATCGAATTTAGAAAAACCCAATCGAAGCAGACTTGCTGCCCTTCAGGAGCATCTCTTTCACGCATGCAGTAAAACGGCTAAAGTTACGACTCCCCAGCGGATATCACTATGTTAAGTACTACAGTCGGTCCATGGATCTTACCTGAAAATCACTTGCATACGCATTGACACACCTACATACATGCAGATATTGCAACTAAATACGCTTCTTTGACTCTGCGAAACTTTATTCCAGCTATT